TTTATTCTGGGCCAGCTTTAGCTCTGAGGCTCGGCTCCAGCTATGAGACCTCCACTGCTGAAAGCAGGTTTCTGGCCTTTGTTTACCTTCTGTATTTGAAACAATGTTGCAGTCCTGCTGGCTGAAGCCTGGCTGACTAAAGCAGGTTTCTGGGGTTTTGTTTAGCTTCTATATTTGTTACAATGTTTCTTAGAGAGCAGCTGAGAGTCTGGCAAGGCAGGCGGGGAACCTGGCTTCCTCCGTCACTGGAGCAAGCAAGCCTCCCTGTTCGCGTCAGCTGCTTGGCTGCCGGCCGCCATCTTGGTTGGCAGTTAATTTGCATATCTCAGTGATTAGCCAATGGGAAGGGTAGCGGCTGTACGGCTAATTACCATGTTTCTCTTTTATTAGATAGGATACCTAGTGTTAAACATAGTTATTTTTGGGCATTTGAACTTTGCTTTACTTTAATAGAAAATAATGCTGCTATTAAACATCTTTGAAAATGGAAAATGAAATAAAATTAGGTGTTCTCTGACCATCCCCATTCTCTATCCCATGTCCATTTCTCTTTACTCTTCTTTATTTTTGTCTATACCATTTCTTACCATCTGACATACTATATAATTAATGTTTTTATTTATTTTTTGTCTGTCTCCTTTCACTATAATATAAGTACTATAAGTCAGGGAATTGGTTTTATTCAATGTTTTATCCGTAAAATCTAGAAGAGAACTTGACAGAGGACACATTGATTGAATGAAAGAATGAATAAACTATAAATACAAAAAAGAGGAATTTAATTTGGTTGCAAGAAATCACATGTAACAGGGGTTATAAAAGAGTAGATTCACTTGCCAAAGGATTTAATTGGGGCTTAGATCCCCAATATTAAAACACATGTTCACATTTTAGATACCTACTTCTCTGGAGTTTAAACCAAATAGACATCTTTTAACATGATTCTTATTTTTATGTTCAAGACTTACTGTTCAACCTCTATTCTTTTTAAAATATATATATTTTATTGATTTTTTTACAGAGAGGAAGGGAGAGGGATAGTGAGTTAGAAACATGGATGAGAGAGAAACATCGATCAGCTGCCTCCTGCACACCTCCCACTGGGGATGTGCCCCCAACCAAGGTACATGCCCTTGACCGGAATCTAACCTGGGACCCTTCAGTCCGAAGGCCGACACTCCATCCACTGAGCCAAACCGACTACGGCTCAAGCCTCTATTTTAAGTCTCTTCCTTTTTCATTTCCTCATAAGAAAAAGGTCTCAGAATAGCAATAAGTATGAGATACCTTTATTCCAAAATACTACAACATTGAATAGTCAATATTATAAGCCCATATGGTTACAATTATTTATTTTTCTGAACAAAAGTAATTTTCTTATTCTCTTCAAGATGCCATTTTGTCTGATATGACTGAAGTTGATATTGATGAACACCACCACTGCATAGCACAAATGGAGGTTTTACCAAAAACGTTCAAAGCTATCGAGGGCAATGTCAAGAGGTTGAGTGTAATTAGTACCTCTTTGCTTGAAGACAAGAGGAAAGAAGAGGAAAAAAAAAGTAAGGATGGTTTAATACACTGGAAATGGATTTTTACTTTTTCTAAAATTCAACTTTATTGAGGTATAATATAGATACCATAATATTCACCCATTTGCCCTGGCCAGGTGGCTAAATTGGTTGGAATGTCATCCCATACTTCAAAAGGTTGCCAAATTGATTCCTGGTCAGGGTACATACCTAGGTTGTGGAATCGATCCCAGGGCACATACGGGAGGCAATAAATAAATGTTTCTCTCTCACATCAATGTTCCTCTCCCTTCCTCTCACTATAAAAGCAATAAAAACACAACCTTAGGTGAGGATTCTTTTTTAATTCACCCATTTAAAGTGTATAAATCGATGACTTTTAGTAAATTTAGACTTGTGCAACCATCACCACAATCCAATTTTATTTTTTAACATATATTTTTATTGATTTCAGAGAGGAAAGGAGAGGGAGAGAGAGATAGAAACATCAATGATGAGAGAGAATCATTCATCAGCTGCCTCCTGCATGCCCCACACTGGGGACCATGCCCGCAACCTGGGTATGTGCCCCAACTGAGAAATCAAACCATGAATTCCTGCTTTATAGGTAGATGCTCAATCACTGAGCCACGCCACCTGGGCCCCACAATCCAATTTTAGAACATTTTCATCATCCCAGAAAGATTCCTCATACCCATTGCAGTCAATATTAATTTCCAACACCAGCCCTAGACAATCACTAATCTGTTTTCTGTCTCAATTGCTTTTGCCTTTTCTGGATATTTCATAAAATGGAATTATATTTTATGTGGTCTTTTATGTGTTTTTTTTTTCATTTTACATAATGCTTTTGAGGTTCAGTCATGTTATAGGATGTATCAGTCGTTTCTTCCTTCCTATCGCCAATTGCATACTACTGTTTGCATATACCACACTGTTTACCCAATCACCATTTCATGGACATTTAGATTGTTTCCAATTTTTGGCTCTTATGAATAATGCTGCTATGAACACACATACATAAGTTTTTTGGTAGACATATGTTTTCATTTCTTTTGAATAGATACTTAGGAATAAAATTGATAGGTCATTTATTTATTGTGGGTAAACTTATGTTTAACTTTTTAAGAAATTGTTAATTGATTTCCGAAGTGATAGTAGAATTTTACATTCCCATCAGCACTGTATTTAGGTTCCAGTTTCTCAACATCCTCAACAACACTTGTTAGTGTCTGTCTTTTTTATTATAGCATGTCTAATAGATGTAAAATAATATCTCATTGTGATTTTAATTTGCATTTTCCTAATGACTAATTATGTTCAGCACCCTTTCATGTGCTTATTAGCCATGACCGTATCTTCTCGGGTGAAGTATCTATTTAAATACTCATTTCTAGCCCTAACCGGTTTGGCTCAGTGGATAGAGTGTCAGTCTGTGGACTGAAGAGTCCCAGGTTTGATTCCGGTCAAGGGCATGTACCTTGGTTGCAGGCACATACATCCAACTCTCTATCCTCCCTTCCTCTCTGTAGAAAATCAATAAAATATATTTTAAAAAATAAATACTCATTTCTATTATTGAGTTTTAAGAGTTCTTTATAGTGCTCGCTTTGGCAAGACATATACTTACTGAAATTGGAATAACACAGAGAAGATTAGCATGGCCTCTGTGCAGTATGACGTGAATATTTGTGAAGCATTCTATTTTTTAAAGAATTCTTTATATACTCCGGATAAAGTAATTTACAAATATTTTCTCCCAGTTTGTGGTTTGTCTTTCCATATCCTCTTTTAATTGACTTATTTATTTTAATTTTTTTAAATCCTCAGCTGAGGATATTTTTTTTTTTGAGGATATTTTTGTATTGATTTTCAGAGAGAGTGGAAGAGATAGATGAAGACAGAGAGAAACATTGATGTGACAGAAACACACCAATTGGTTGTCTCCTGCACACGCCCTGACCAGGGCCTTGGCTGGGGAGGAGCCTGCAGCCAAGGTACATGTCCTTGACCGGAATCCAATCGGGACCCTTTGGTCTGCAGCCCAACGCTCTATCCACTGAGCCAAACCCATTCGGGCTCTTTTCATTTTCTTAATGGTATCTTTGAAACCCACAAGTGTTTAATTTTTATAAAGTCCAATCAACTTATTTTTTCTTTAATAGAAGTTTTATCATAGTTTTAGTGTTGTATTATGAACTTGAAGGGAATTCCAAGATGGCTGCAGAGAAGCTGGAAGCTCCATTCATTTGCTCCCAGCCCGGGATTAGACTTTGCAGCTAAACTGCAGAGCAATCAACGAGAAAAACCAGTTGAAGTGTAGCTGATCTGAAACTATACTAGTAAACAGTAGCACAGAGGAAGACAGGAGGAGACAGAAAGTGTGAACCCCCTCGTGCAGGTGCGTGGCTGGGAGGCCAGAGGGATATTGTGGCAGCAGAGCCCCCTCTCACTGGGAGCATGGAGTCTCAGCCCCACGCAGGGATCCCCAATCCAGAGCAACAGAGACAGGAAGGGGAGCCGGCGAAGCATCAGGTGGTGGTAATTAGTGGGAATTCGGTCCACCTGGGAGACTTGGACCACACCATCCCAGAGAAAAAGCAATCATATTGTTTGTTTCTTTCTTTTTTTTTAAAATTAAATCTTTATTGTTCAAATTATTACAGTTGTTCCTCTTTTTTCCCCCCATAGCTCCCCTACACCCAGTTCCCACCCTACCCTCGGCCCTTACCCGCCCCCCACTGTCCTCATCCATAGGTGTACGATTTTTGTCCAGTCTCTTCTCGCACCACCACACCCCTTGCCCCTAAGAATAGTCAGTTCACTCCCTTTCTATGCCCCTGATTCTATTATATTCACCAGTTTATTCTGTTCATCAGATTATTTATTCACTTGATTTTTAGATTCACTTGTTGATAGATGTGTATTTGTTGTTCATAATTTGTATCTTTACCTTTTTCTTCTTCTTCCTCTTCTTAAAGGATACCTTTCAGCATTTCATATAATACTGGTTTGGTGGTGATGAACTCCTTTAGCTTTTCCTTATCTGTGAAGCTCTTTATCTGACCTTCAATTCTGAATGATAGCTTTGCTGGATAAAGTAATCTTGGTTGTAGGTTCTTGCTATTCATCACTTTGAATATTTCTTGCCACTCCCTTCTGGCCTGCAAAGTTTCTGTTGAGAAATCAGCTGACAGTCGTATGGGTACTCCCTTATAGGTAACTGACTTTTTTTCTCTTGCTGCTTTTAAGATTCTCTCTTTGTCTTTTGCTCTTGGCATTTTAATTATGATGTGTCTTGGTGTGGTCCTCTTTGGATTCCTTTTGTTTGGGGTTCTCTGCGCTTCCTGGACTTGTAAGTCTATTTCTTTCACCAGGTAGGGGAAGTTTTCTGTCATTATTTCTTCAAATAGGTTTTCAATATCTTGCTCTCTCTCTTCTTCTGGCACCCCTATAATTCGGATGTTGGTACGCTTGAAGCTGTCCCAGAGGCTCCTTACACTATCTTCGTATTTTTGGATTCTTTTTTCATTTTGCTTTTCCGGTTGGGTGTTTTTTGCTTCTTCGTATTTCAAATCTTTGACTTGATTCTTGCGCTCCTCTGGTCTGCTATTGGGTGTCTGTATAATATTCTTTATTTCAGTCAGTGTATGCTTAATTTCTAGTTAGTCCTTTTTCATAACCTCGAGGGTCTCACTAAGTTTATCGGCGGTTTCTAGAGAATTCTTGAAAAACCTTAAAAGTGTGGTTTTGAACTCTATATCCAACAGTTTGCTTTCCTCCAATTCTGTCGTTTGTGTCCTGTTTCTTTGTCTCGGCACTTTTTATGCTTCGCTGTGTCGATAGAGTACCTTTCTGTACTAAGTGTCCCAATTACCTGAGGTAGACACTCTTGGTGCACCCCCTTGTGGGCTTTGTGCACAGTCTTGTAATTAAACCTTGATTGTTGTAGTTATCACTGGGAGGAATTGACCTCCAGGCCAATTGGCTGGTGTGCACAGTCTTGTTGTAGTTAAGCCTTGATTGCTGTTGGTATCATTGGGAGGAATTGACCTCCAGACCAATTGGCTATGAGGACCAGTTTTGTCTACAATGGGAGAACTGCTGTGCTGGAAACACCTTTTTGGGGCAGGACTTGTTTCAGTGGGGCTCTGGTGCTCACTGAGTCTGCTCCCTGAGTGTATCTCTTATGGATCTGAAGAGTTATAATCTGGTGTGGTCTCACTCTGACCACTGGGCACACTGGCTCTTGGATCTCCAAGGAGGTGCAAAGTCAACCACTGCCTGAGGCCACCCAACAGGAGCTACAGAGAGATCTGCAGATTCCTCCTCTTTGTTTGGGGTTTGGAGGTGCACAGATGAGGTACAGCTGTCACACAATGCAGGCTGCTGATGAGCCTTAGGCCTTCTTTTGGAAGCTCTGGGGTTCTTTGACCCAGCTGCAGTTTGTTAGGTTTTAGATTGCAAAAGGCCAGGCCATTCATATGCAAAAGCCTCTGTGTACAGCTTGGGTGGGGTTGTAAATTGGGTGGGGTGGGGTCTCAGGGAATCATGGGCAGTGAAAACAGCAATGGTTGCTCATTGGTCCTGCCCTGTTAGGCCCCTGGGTCTCTGTGTCCTGCAGCCCTGTGCAGGAACAATGATCGCTGTAAGCACCTCTGTGAGAAAGCCGCCCTAGTTTTCCGGCCCGATGCCAGACAGTCCAGTTTCTCCCTGTATGAGTCTGGGTCTCCAGAGTTTCGCCCGGAACTGGAGTTCAGAGCAGTTGGGAGTTTGTATTTCCCTCCCAATTGAAAAAGACAACAGCGTAGCCAGTTGCCAGCCCATTTTGCATGCCTCCGTACCTCCACTCTTCCGCACCTCTGCACCTCCTACCAGTCTAGATGCGCTTTTCTCTTTCCCTCTAGTTGTCGGACTTCCACTCAGCCAGCTTTCCCACGGTTCTGGATGATATCCGTTTTGTCTTTTAGTTGTAGTTTTGATGTGGTTGTGTGAGGCAGCAAGTTCAGGTGTTTACCTATGCCGCCATCTTGGTTCCTCCTCCTTTCAGTACTTTAAATATACCATCCCACTGCCTTCTGGCCTCCATTTTTTCTGATAAAGAGCGAGCTGTAGTTCTCCTGTACTTGATTAGTCTCTTTTGATTGTGATGAGTCATTTTTCTATATTTTTGTGTCTTTATTTTATCTTGTTTATTTTAATTTTTTTCCATCACCACCTTTTTTTCCCTTTTATCTATTTACTGGAGGCCTAGTGCATGAAATTTGTGCATGGGTGTGGGGGGCTCCCACAGACCAGCCTGCACCCTCTCACAATCCGGGACTGCTGGCTCCTAACTGCTCGCCTGCCTATCTGCCTGATTGCCCCTAACCACTCACCTGCCTGCCTGATTGCTCCTAACTGCCTCTGCCTGTCTGATTGCCCCTAACCACTTGCCTGCCTGCCTGATTGCCCCTAACTGCTTGCCTGCCTGCCTGATTGCCCCTAACCACCTCTGCCTTGGCCCCCGCACCCAGGACCTGGGCTTCCTTCCCTCTGGCCTGGCCACAGGCACCAGGGACCCCAGGTGGCTTCACCTGGGCCCTGGCTTTGCCAGGAAGGATGTCCGGAATGACGTCTGGAAGATGTCCAGTCTATCCGGTCTAATTAGCATATTACCCTTTTATTAGTATAGATTTTTTTTTACCACCTCTTTTTTCTTTAAAGATTCTCTCTTTGTATGGCTTTCAATGGTTTGACTATGATGTGTCTAGGTATGGATTATTTTGTTTGTCTACTTAAAATTTGCTGAGTTTTTTGAATGTGTAAATTAATGTTTTTCATAAAATTTTGGATAATTTGCCCAGCTGGTATGGCTCAGTGGTTGAGTGTCAATCCATGAATCAAGAGGTCACAGTTCAATTACCAGTCAGGGCACATGCACAAGTTGTGGGTTCGATCCCCAGTGAGGGGTGGGCAGGAGGCAGCCAAACAATGATTTTCTGTCATCATTGATGTTCCCATACCTCTCTCCCTCTCTCTTCCTCTCTCTGAAATCAATAGAAACATATTAAAAAGAGAAACTTTCCCTCTGAAACTAGATCTCTAATATCTCTAGATATATATTTGGATGATTTGGCCATTTTATATATATATATTTGGATGATTTGGCCATTACTTCTTCAAATACCTTTTTAAAATTTATTTTTCTTTATTTATTAAGGTATTACATATGTGTCCTTATCCCCCCCACTCATGCCCTCACACCCCTGGTGTCTGTGTCCATTGGTTATGCTTATACAAATACTTTACTAAAAATAAGTTTTTATTGAGAAAGAGGAAGGGAGAGGGATAGAGAAAAACATTGATGAGAGAGAAACATATCAGCTGCCTCCCGAATATCCCCTACTCAGTATTGAGCCCAAAACCTGGGCATGTGCCCTGACCAGGAATCCAACTGGTAACCTCTCAGTGCATGGGACAATGCTCAATGATCAATCAACTGAGCCACACTGGCCAGGGCACTTCTTCAAATACTTTCAATGTACCTCCCCCCTCTTGTTCTGGGCCTTCTATTATTTGTACATCAGTATGCTTAATGGTGTGCCACATGTCTCTGAGGCTTTGTTCATTTTTCTTTCTTCTTTCTTCTCCCTGTTCTCAGATTAGACAACTTTTACTAATCTAGCATCAAGCGTTCTGGTTTTTCTTCTGTTAGTTCAAATCTACTTTGAGCCCTCTTGGCTAATTTTTTCATTTTAGTTATTATACTATTCAGCTCTATTTTTTTCCACTTGGTTGTTCTAATTTCCATATCTTTATTGATATGTTGTATTTGATGAGCAATTATCATCATAGTTGTCTTCTTCAGCTATCTGTTAATTTATTCTAACTTCCTTGGGCTTAACCATAGATAGGACACAACACAAAAGAAGAAATACAATCTCATCATTTGTGTTTTATGGTTTTTCTTCTTCTAGTGTCTAGAAAAGCTCTATGGAAATCTTGGAAAGAAAGAGTTATAAAGCGACCTGCAACAGTCCATGCTTTAACACCAAATCAGATGATTGGTGATGAATTTGCAACAAATACAAAGGTTTCAGAAATTCAAGCCATGCTACAGGAACTCATAGATACTACAATGTTCAATAAATTGGAAAATAATGCTATTAACTATATAGCATCGACAATAGAAAACCTTTCTAAAGCGTTGAGTTCACTAAATAATGAAGCAAAAGTTATTAACCTCCATCCTGAGATATGTATAAGTGAGGAAAGTGAAAAAGAGCTCTCCCTGAAGGTAATACAAGAGCTCAGTGAAGAAAATGAAAGGCTTCAGCGGAAACTTCAAGAAGCAGAAGAAAAATATGAGCAGTTTATTAAATTCAAAGCATTGCCCACATCAACCTTGAAGGTGTTATATGAGTTTTCTCCAAAATCATCCATGGGCTTTAGCATGACTGATGAAGCAGCGAGTATGGATGGGGCCCAAAGAAAGGAGACCCAAGGCTCAGTGTTAAAGTGGGACTCAGCAAGTTCACATACAGCCCAAGTTGAAATGACTCCAGATTTAATTGAACAGCAATTCCCTTTACTTGAAAAAACCCCAAAAATACCTTCCAAAGATATCACTGAAGATAAGATATCACTGAAGAAAGGTGACATCTATCAGAAAGGTTGGACTGATGAGTATCAATCACAGAAAAGGAAGATCACAAAAGCCCCATATGAGTTTGAGACCTCTAGATCAAATCTGAGTAAGCAGACAAGTAAACAAATAGTCTCGAAGACCAAAGTGGATTATGACTTAGATCTACAAGCACAGCGAAAGACGAGTCAAGAAATACAGCCCCTTTCTATAGCCAAATCAAAGTCATTCATTGAATCAAAAAGTCAACACGTTCTTTCTAATTTCCCTTCTATTGACACAAAGAGCCAAGGTGGCAAAAGTGGAACAAGTAGTAAGTGGGAACGACTCAGGAAGTACAAAATTGCATATATACTTGAGAAATGCCAAGTTATTTCAGACCACAAAAAGAAATCCACCACCGAGTTAATGGCCAAAGAGAGTGAAAGTGTTACGAGTTTCCAAGCAGTGCCATTTGGGTCAATCCAACCTGATAAATCCTCTGAGAAAGTAAAAATAGAAGGAAAGGAACATCAAATCTCTTCAGAAATTACCACAAGCAAAGAAGGAAAAACTGAAGAGGAGGACACGTCAGTCTTTACCAAGAAGGGCAAGTCTCAAGAACTTGTTGAATCACAATCTAAGACTTCAGAATCTACTACAGTTCTAGGAAGTCCAGAGGGCAAAAGTGAACAGGCTAATCTAGATGAATTTCACAACGCCATAATGTCTTTCTTAAAAGAGAAAATTGATAACACAGAAAATCCTTTGGATAAAAAGACTGTGCCAGAAGAAGAGTTATTATTAAAAAAAGCAGAAGTTGAAAAATTAGGAATCATAAAGGCAAAAATGGAAGAATATTTCCAAAATGTGGCTAGAGCTGTGGCAAAAATCTTGAGAAAATACAAAGACATTAAAATAGCAGGACAAATTAGAGAGAAACAAATGAAACAAACAACAGTCTCATTTATGCCAGGGCTACATTTACAGGAGCCAATTAGTCCAAAGTCTGAAATTAGCTCCTTACTCTCATCTGAGAGCATGGACCCAGTAATACAAAATTTAACACAAGAGATCTTGACTGAAATAGATGCTCCAGTCGTCTCAATAGCAGGGAAAGACCATATGGAGAAGGAAAACCAGAGGCAGGAGGAATATTTGCAAGAGGTTCAAGAAGAAAGTTTGAATATGAATCTTAAACACCAGTTGCAAGAAAGGAATCTCTGGAAGATGAGCTATAAGAGCATAAAAAAGGATTTGCAAAAGCTCCAGATGAAGGAGGGAAAGCAAGAGCAACAGAAGCAGGATCAGTGGCAGGAAGAAGTGTGGGAGCAACATCAAAAACAGAGGATGCAAAAGCAGACTGAGCAAGATGAGAAGCAAAAGGGAATGGAAGAGGAAGAACAGCAGAAGCAAAAGCAGCAGTGGCTGGAAGCACGGGGGCAAAAAATGAAAGAGCAAGGAGTGTCCTTGGAGGAGGAGGGACAGCAGATGGAGCAGCTTCAGAAGGAAGTGAAACATATGGAACTGGAAAGTAGCTGGAAGGAAGAGGAAGAGAAGCAGAAGCCAAAGAGAAAGGGAAGGGACGATGAAAGTCAGTGGCATCAAAAAGCAAAGGAGCAGTTGAAGATTAAGGAGGAAAGACCTGAAGAACTAGAAAATGTGTTAAGTAGCACTTCAATAAGATTGACTCCCAGGTGGAAGAACACATGGAAACGTGCATTACTGTTACGCACAAAAAAAAAGTCCCATGTGAATCTTGCTGATGAAAAGCACTCCGAACCAGTCATTCCTCCCACCTCGACACAGTTTTCCTCACCTGGGCCCTTTTCTATTCCTGGACAGTTTCCTACGAAGTCCATTGCTGTCATTCATGAGGAGGCCGAGGCCCAGGGCATCACTCTCTCTCCTGAGCAGGCGCAGGCACTGGGCATCACTTTCACCCCTCAGCAGGCCCAGGAGCAGGGAATCACTCTCACCCCTAGTCAAGCCCTGGCACAGGGAATCACTCTCACCCCTAGTCAAGCCCTGGCACAGGGAATCACCCTCACCCCTAGTCAAGCCCTGGCACAGGGAATCACACTCACCCCTCAGCAGGCCCAGGCATTGGACATCACTCTCACCCCTCAGCAGGCCCTGGCACAGGGAATCACACTCACCCCTCAGCAGGCCCAGGCACAGGGAATCACACTCACCCCTCAGCAGGCCCAGGCACAGGGAATCACACTCACCCCTCAGCAGGCCCAGGCACAGGGAATCACACTCACCCCTCAGCAGGCCCAGGCACAGGGAATCACACTCACCCCTCAGCAGGCCCAGGCACAGGGAATCACACTCACCCCTCAGCAGGCCCAGGCACAGGGAATCACACTCACCCCTCAGCAGGCCCAGGCATTGGACATCACTCTCACCCCTCAGCAGGCCCTGGCACAGGGAATCACACTCACCCCTCAGCAGGCCCAGGCACAGGGAATCACACTCACCCCTCAGCAGGCCCAGGCACAGGGAATCACACTCACCCCTCAGCAGGCCCAGGCACAGGGAATCACACTCACCCCTCAGCAGGCCCAGGCACAGGGAATCACACTCACCCCTCAGCAGGCCCAGGCACAGGGAATCACACTCACCCCTCAGCAGGCCCAGGCACAGGGAATCACACTCACCCCTCAGCAGGCCCAGGCACAGGGAATCACACTCACCCCTCAGCAGGCCCAGGCACAGGGAATCACACTCACCCCTCAGCAGGCCCAGGCATTGGACATCACACTCACCCCTCAGCAGGCCCAGGCATTGGACATCACACTCACCCCTCAGCAGGCCCAGGCATTGGACATCACACTCACCCCTCAGCAGGCCCAGGCATTGGACATCACACTCACCCCTCAGCAGGCCCAGGCATTGGACATCACACTCACCCCTCAGCAGGCCCAGGCATTGGACATCACACTCACCCCTCAGCAGGCCCAGGCATTGGACATCACACTCACCCCTCAGCAGGCCCAGGCATTGGACATCACACTCACCCCTCAGCAGGCCCAGGCATTGGACATCACACTCACCCCTCAGCAGGCCCAGGCATTGGACATCACACTCACCCCTCAGCAGGCCCAGGCATTGGACATCACACTCACCCCTCAGCAGGCCCAGGCATTGGACATCACACTCACCCCTCAGCAGGCCCAGGCATTGGACATCACACTCACCCCTCAGCAGGCCCAGGCATTGGACATCACACTCACCCCTCAGCAGGCCCAGGCATTGGACATCACACTCACCCCTCAGCAGGCCCAGGCATTGGACATCACACTCACCCCTCAGCAGGCCCAGGCATTGGACATCACACTCACCCCTCAGCAGGCCCAGGCATTGGACATCACACTCACCCCTCAGCTGGCCCAGGCATTGGACATCACTCTCTCCCCTCAGCAGGCCCAGGCACTGGGTATCACTCTTACCCATGAGCAGTTCAAGGCACTGATGGTTACCCTCACTCCTGAAAAATCCCAGGGTTTGGGAGTCACACTCACACATGAACAAGTCCAAGCATTGAGAGCTCCTGTCATTCTCCAGCAAGAAGAGACATTGAGGGACCATATTACTCCTATCCAGGGCCAGACTCTAAAGGCACCTGCCCAGGCACATGATATGATTCTTACCCCTGAGCAGAGCCAGGCAATGCAGATCCCTGTGACTACTCAACAGGCCCAGATACTTGGTGTCCCTATCACTCAAGGCCAGGATGAGGCATTGGGAGTCACTATCACACCACAGCAGGCAGAGGCACAGGCACAGGCACGGGCACTGATGTTCACTCTTACTCCAGAGAATGCGCAGATTTGGGGTATCACACATACCAATGAACAAGCCCCGGCAGTGGGTATTACCCTCACCCCTGAGCAGAAACACGTATTGGAGGTCCCACTTACCTTTGACCAGGCTCAGGCATTAGAGACCCCTCTCACTGCAGAACAGGCCTGGAAATTGGGGGTCGCTATCACTCCAGAAATGGCTCAGAAAGTATCACACACTCTTTTTCTTAAGCAGGGCAAAGCATTGGGGATCGGTCCCACCTATGAACAGGCTCAGTCATTTGGCAGTCCTTTAACTCTGAATCAGGCCCGGGCATTGCGAATCCCAAATGCCTGGTTATCAATTATCACTCGTAGGCATGAACAGTCTTTGGGGGCCCCTCTCACCTCAGATAAAGCCCAGGTCTTAGGATCTCCCCTTACCCGTGAGCAAGTTCAACCTTCGGGAGCTCCCTTCACTCCAGGACAGGCCCAGCCCATGGGTATTACTCACATGTCTAAGCAGAGCCTAGAACCAAGAGCTCCTCCCATTAATGAGCAATTTTCACAATTCCGGGCTGGTCCTTCTTCAGGACATACCCAGGAAGTTGGGATCTTTTCCATTCCTGATAAATCCATCAAACCAAGTGCTCCTCACATGCCTAAGCCGTCCACCAGATTGGCCCCTTCTACTCTGAAACCATTTCAAGAATCAAAGACTTCTCTCCTTTCTGGGCAATCCACTACATCAAGAACCAGATGGCCCCTGGTACCATCTGCTCTTATTGATGAGAAGACCCCTGGATTTAAGGTCTCTTCTACTTCTTTGCAGACATCAGGGTTTCCTTTTACCCAAGCCCCATTTGTCTCTGGGAAATCCCGAGGAAAGGGGAGCTTCGGTAGGGAGCTTCCTTCCTCTAAACAGACACTGGTTTCTAAGGGTCAATTCACCCCTGTGAAGTTCCTAGCACCAGAGGTCCCTCCCACCCCTGGGAAGCTTTCAGTATCTGGGCCCCCTCCCACTCTAGGGCAGCCCCTTACACTGGATTCCCCTCTTAGCCCTAGGCAGATCCTCATACCTAGGGACTCTCTGACTCCCCAGTCACCCCTGATATCAAAGCTTCCTCTTGCCTCCAGGCAACCTCTTATATCTGGGATTCCACCCGCCTCTTCACAGATTCCCAGTCTCTGGGCTCCTCTCTTTCCTGGGAAGCCTTTGATTCCTGGGGCCCCTTCTGTGCCTGGGGAGCTCATGGAATCTGGACTCTCCACCTCTGAGCAGCCCCAGGCATTTCAGCTCCCTACCGCCTGTGAGCAATCTCCCTATCTACAAGCCCCTTCTACCCTTGGGGAGCTTCCGGCACCACAGACCTTTCCTGGGCAAGCTTTCCCACTATGGATCTCTCCCACCCCTGGGCATCCCCCACCACCACCGACCCCCTCAACCCCTGGAAAGCCCCCAAAAGATTTGTCTCTGAAATCTAAATCAGCATTGGTCCATCCCGGTGCTCCAAGTTTCAAGGTACCACAAGCCCCTTTCACCACTAAGAAGTTCCAAATATCAGAGGTCTCTGACACTTCTGAAGAAATCCAGGAACTCCGAGATTCTTTTACTATGGAACAACTTAGGACATTTCAGTCCTATCTCACCAAGTATAGGACACCAGTATCACAAACTCCTTACATTGATGAGGGGGCCCTGCCCACTCGCATGAAGCCTATAACATCACTGCCTCCTCTTACTACTCAACTACCCAAAAGATCACAGATTGCACCTTCCGAATGGGACTGGAAATCCCGATTTCCCCCTATAAGTAAGCCCTGCGTACTGACTTCAGTTTCAGGTACCAAGAAACTCAAGATGATGATACCCCCTTCCTCTTTCCAAGAGCTCAAAGAGCAGAGGTATTTTGTTGATGTGAAGGCTCAAAGGAAGAACCTGATACTCTTAAATCAGACCACAGAAACTTCTGGACACCCTTCAGAGCTACATACAACAGCTAGAAATCTCATAATTGAGACACTTCATACAGACACAGTTCGACTGGGATACCTATTCCGCAAGTACATTGCCTATAGGCTGATCCAGCGTGCAAGGTAGATGTAACTATTACATGTTGATTTCTGGTTTAGTCCTGATTTCAAATATCCTCCCACATTGCCCTATAAGTATATTCATATTTATCAGATCAGGTGTTCTAAAAGATTCTCTTATGGTAGGTCTATGGGATGGAAGCCTATTTAAGATAGCAAAAGGAGATATTTTTTAGAAAATAAATATCATATAATATGATCTATTTCATATGTCAAGGTAAATTTTGTGGATAATGACTGATCCCCATAATATCTACTTCAAAAGTTTAGAGTTGCTTCCAGTTATTCTGAATTTTTTACATCATCTTCGGCTCACCAGAAGATGTATGATTCTTAAAATGGGAGATGGCAGATTATGTACAAGGTGTTGCCATGGCAACTTGACTGCTGGAGTGACCTGAAAGAAACAGATCCTCATCCTGATTTTTAAAAATTGCAAATATCAGAAATAGGTCAGGGAAATGGATCTGGTTCCCCCCCGACCCCCCCGCAACCCACACAAACACACATGGCTACCCAGTTCCCCCTACTTATTTAAACATACCTTAGTTATAAATTCTTGTATCAATTAGGTACATATCTGGACTTTTTATTATTTTTTACTGATTACATATAGATGAGTCATTTCTATTCCATGTTATTTATTGCAGTTTTATTTTCATGATGTTGAGTCTTTGTCAACTGATCTGCCATCCTTAGCATTTGTGTTTTGAGGTTACGAACCTATTATTTTGGGGAAACTTTTTAACCTTAAATTACAAGAAGCTAAACTAAAACCTATAATAGAAGAGGTTATCATTAAATATAGGAAGAACTATGTTATTTATCCACCACATGTTTACTGAATGCCTCCAATGTGCCAAGCATTGTTTTAGTTGCTAGGGATATAGCAGTGAATAAAACGAAGTACCCTGTTCTCAATAAATTTACATTTTTGAGGACAGAATTCATTTGATAACTAAGGATTGAAATAACAAGGTGCAAAAGAAAGACTTATTCAAGATATAATCAGAACTTTTAATTTCAAAGCTTAAATTGAGATTTGTTGGGAAATGTTTTACTCTATATTTGTCTTTAGTTTGTTCTTTCCAAACTGAATATTCCTAGTTTTTTTTAATCTATTCGAGAATTTTAAATAACATGTTCCTGGTCAATCTCCAGTTCTCTTACGTCTTTTTTCCTTAGTTTTATTTAAATTTAAAAAAATAAGTGGCATTCATCTGGTACAATATTTTAAAAATTCAAATGAGATAAAGAGAAGTCTCCCTAATAAACCTATCCTAGCCTTTAGGCCTCTCCCCCAGGGCTACTAATGCATATGCATAACATTTTCTACATATGTAGAAAAGTACTATGCTCTTTTATCCCCCTTTTTGCATATTTTAAAGTTAGCATGCTTGATTTTTTTTTCATAATTGAACTTAGGTATTAAGTGTTAGATAACTTGGGAATTCGTATATAAAGAGTCCACTCATTCATTTTATAGTTCCATAGTATTCAAAGTTTGGATTTACCAGAATTTACCTAACCTCTGATGGATATTTATGCTGTTTTTAACATTTTGCTTTATAAAAATATACTTTTATGAACAATCTTGTATACACATATATATGTATGTATATTCCTAGTAGAATTTCTGGATCAAAGGGTAAGTGTTTTATAATTGTGATAGATTTTTGTCAAATTGTTTTCCAAAGAGGTTGTAACAATTTACATATTGGTTAGTGTTATAAATTGGTATTTCCCTACATCAAGACTAACACAAACTATTATCAAATTTTTTGTTCATTGCCAATATAATAGATGAAATATGGCATTTTACTGCTTTAATTGTCCCTACTTTTATTATTGGTGAGGTTAAGCGTCTTTTTCTAGACTTAAGAGCCATCTGTAATTCATTTTCTGTGAAGACATCATTAAAATACTTTGCCCATTTCTCATTTGGGTTGTCAACTTGCTTTTTAAAATTCATTTGGGGCATCTGATAAAATATTTGGAAAATTGGCCCCTTGTCTGTGATGTAAATTGTAAATTTCCCCCCTCTTGTCTTTACTCTGCTTTTGGTATTTTTTGCTTTGTAGAAAATTATGATTTTTAGCCCTAGCCGAGTGTTGACCTGCAGACTGAAGGGGTCCCTGGTTTGATTCCAGTCAAGGCACATACCAGGTTGTGGGCTCCATCCCCAGTAGGGGGTGTGCAGGAGGCAGCCCACCAATGATTCTCTCTCATTATTGATGTTTCTATCTCTCTCTCTCCCTCTCCCTTCCTCTCTAAAATCAATAAAAATATACATTTTAAAAATTATGATCTTTAAAAGTCCTTTCTAGGTCTCTTAGTATTTTTATGGTTGGTTATTCATTTTTTTGTTTGTTATATACTTAAGTCTTTGATTCACAACATTCTGTTGTGAGAAATGGTTCTGGTAACATACCTTAGTTATAAATTCTTGTATCAATTAGGTACATATCTGGACTTTTTATTATTTTTTACTGATTACATATAGATGAGTCACTTCTGTTCCATGTTATTTATTGCAGTTTTATTTTCATGATGTTGAGTCTTTGTGATAGTCATTATAGTGTTTGCCAGTCCTTGTTAATGAGATGTGAACAGAATTGGTATGTGTCACTTCTGTGCTGAGCATTGTCAGTCTGACACCCTCCAAAGTCTCTTCTTCCTCTGCCACGATAACCTACGATGTTTAAGATGATAGCTGTTTTTTCAGCCTGTGTTCTTGAGAGTATACAACGAAGCTCTCCCTGCTGAGCCCTGGTGGATTTGTAGTATGAACAACAAGTAAAATTTTCTTTTTAGCCACTAAGATTTGGGGTTGCTAAAACAGCAAATCTAGCTTATCTTTACTAACACTGTCTTCCTATCCAAGAATATGGTATACCTTCCTTTTTGTTCGAGTATGTGTGTGTCCTTCTGGAAAAAGTTTTTGTATAACTCTTCCATATTCTTTCATAAGTGTATATCCTGATAGTTGTGTTTTTTAGAAAATATTTTTATTGATTTCAGAGAGGAAGGGAGAGGGAGAGATAGAAACATCAATGATGAGAATCACTGATTGGCTGCCATCTGCACACCTCCCACTGGGGATCAAGCCCACAACCAGGGCATATGCCCTGATCAGGAATAGAATCGTGACCTCTTGGTTCATAGGTCGATGCTCAGCCATGCCAGCTGGGCAGTTTTTATTTTTGTGGTTACTATTGTAAATGGACTCTCTCTTTCTGTGACATCTTCTAACTCATTATTTGTATAAATGAAGGCTAGATTTCTCTATATCAATTTTGTATGCAGCCATTTATGGTATTCAAGCATGTGAAAGTTTTTTAATTGATATTTTTGAGTTCTCCAGGTATATAATCAAAGCACCTACCAATAATAATATTTTACATTTAGATTTGCCAATATTTAAACATCTAATTTCTGTCTCTTGATTATCTGAATTGGTTAGTATCTCCAGGACTCTGTTAAAAAATATTGGTGATATGGCTACCAGGTCATCTTTATTCATTTGACTGCCCTGAGTAACAGCTATGAGTGCCTTCCTGTAGCCCCATGTTATTTTTCTAAAAAAAGTTCATATTCAAGTGTGTTTAAAGGATCACTTACATTGATATTCTCTTTTCTGAAAAAGTTGTAAAATATTCTTAACCTAAGTCAATTTCTTCTTTGTTCTTATTTTCTCCATTCTATGTATCTCAGATGGCCAAAATATAAGCCCTTTCATAGCTATTTATTAAAAAATAACTATAAATTGGTTAAAAAGATAGTGGCAATAATGAATATCCTATATAATAAAAGGGTAATATGCAAATTGACCCTAATGGTGGAATGGCCAGTTGCTATGACACACACTGACCACCAGGGGGCAGATGCTTAATGCAGGAGCTGTCCCCTGGTGGTCGGTGTGTTTCCACAGGGGGAGTTCTGATCAGCTACAAGCTGGGCTGAGGGCTGTGAGCACAGCAGCAGTGGTGGGAACCTCTCCTGCTTCTGTGGCAGCACTAGGATGTCCAACTGCAGCTTAGGCCTGTTCCCATCAGTTGGACATCCTCCGAGGGCTCCTGGGCTGCCAGAGGGATGTCTGACTGCCAGCTTAGGCTCGATCCCCTGGGGAACAAGCCTAAGCCGGCAGGTGGACATCCCCTAAGGGGTCCTGGACTGTGAGAGGGTGCTGGCCAGGCTGAGGGACGCGCCCCCCCAAATGCACAAATTTTCTTGCACTGGGTCTCTAGTCTTTCTTATATTTGTCAGTAAAAAAATACTGACTTTTAGGTTTAAGTACATTTTTATCATATTAAAGTATCCATTTGCTCCTGTTCCATTATGTTTTTTTAAAATCAAGAGTGGATGTTGAATTTTGTTAATTTGTTAAAGCACATTTTTTTTAAAATATGATTTTGACATGTCATTTTCATGTGCATTAAAGAAAATATTAGTTTCTCCTGCATTCCTGGAATAAATCCTATTTGTCCTTGGTGTATCCTTCTTTGAATGTTATGAAGTTTGTTTGCTAATGTTTCATTTAGGTGTTGTTTTACATTAATTAGTAAGTTTTATTGGTGCTATCTTTGTCAATTTTTTTGTGCTATTTTTGTCAATTTTTAATATAATTTTAAGCTTCTATCATTAAAAAATGTGAAAACTTTTTTTTTATGCTTGAGAGTTTAACAGTAAAATTAGTTGTTCTTTTAAGGTTTGGCAGATCTCATCTATGATATTATATAGGCTTGGTACTTTTGGAGGGAAGTTCTTAGACAACTTTCTTAATTTTTATATGGCAATTAGTTTGTTTAGATTTATTGGAGATTTAAAATTTTTTTGCATATATTTTTTATTGTTATAGTATTACAGATATCTCCCATTTCCCCCTTTTCTCTTCCCCCTAACTGGAGATTTTGAAGTCTAAGTGACATGATCTGACCTGCTTCAGTAAAATCATTTAAAAATTGAAATATATAGATCAACGTTTTGTAACAATATTTAACTTATACAAGTATAACTTTAATCCCATCAAAAGTGAATTCATTTTTCCCAGAAAGTTCTTATTTAATATTTAATGTTATTATAATTAGATCACCAACAGGTATAACAAGGAATAAAATATTGATAGATTAAAGATTCCATAACAAAGATAGCTAGGTCAAGAAGGTTCTTGACATTATATGGGAGAGAAGATATGAAGTGTAATAATATTAACTACTTTTGGATAGTATAAAAGATGGTGATAAGAATGTTACCCACTTGCTTCATTGAGAACAGTGTTATTTATGGGACTGGGTGTGATAGGCATTCTATAATTGATGTGGAGAAGTTATTAAAAACACATGTAATAAAGATGGTTTAAGAGTGAAAAAAATGAAAATCACCTATAGGACATGGGAAAAAATCAAAGGCTATTGGAAAATTAATTTAATTAAATATACTAAGTTAACTCAGAAAATTGACTGTTTAAGTATTAAATGATCCATATATTTAATAGGTTTTAAGTTATTAATTATAACCCACAAAAGGGACCTGAGATTTGTTTCCCCTGTGTGTGTGTGTTTATAATATGTATGTAAAACGCATATGTTCAGAAACATATCTTCAATTATTCCCCTTGGCAACTCCTACCCCCAAAATCCAAACTCTTTAACATGCCTTTTAAGGCCTTTCATAATCCAGCCATTCCAGTCTCCTTCCCACCATATCCTTTCATATATCCATAGTCTAAAAGTCTCAGACTATTCACCATTCCCAAATATAACTTCCATTCTCTTACATTTGTACTAAGTATTACTTCAACCTGGAATTCCTCATCCCCTTCTTCCCAAACTTAAGATTTACCTGAGATTCTGTTTAAAATCCAGATCTCGAAGCTTACACACCAAGATTTTGATTAAAAAGGTCTGAGGAACCTTGGAATCTGTATTTTTAACAAGCATTTCCTCCTTCCCCGACAAATGATTCAGTCCACACTTTGAGAAATATTGGTATTCTGAAAAGAGAGAAGATCTAGGTTTGCTTCCCAAATATACTATTTATTTATGTGACTTTAGAAAATCATTTAGCCTGGTCGGTATGGGTCAGTGGTTGAGCATCAACCCATGCATCAAGAGGTTGCTGGTTTGATTCCTGGTGAGGGCATATAACCCAGCTGCAGACTTGATCCCCAGTTGGGGGCATGCAGGAGGCAGCTAATTGCCTCTCTCTTCCCCCTCACCCTTCTCTCTGTAAAAATCACTTCAAAAATCTTTAATTTAAAAAATTTTTTTTTGGCGCAGATTCCTTTTCCTCTCCTGTAGTATGGGGACGGTGAAACACTATCTGTTTAGGAGACCCAAACATGGTGGTATGCTATGAGAATACATTTTTTTAATATATATTTTTATTGATTTTTTACAGAAAGGAAGGGAGAGGGACAGAGAGAAACATCGATGAGAGATCAACATCGATCAGCTGCCTCCTGTACACTCCCTACTGGGGATGTGCTCGCAACCACGGTACATGCCCTTGACTGGAATCGAACCTGGGACCCTTCAGTCTGCAGGGCGATGCTCTATCCACTGAGCCAAACCAGTTAGGGCGAGAATACATTTTTATGACTATTCCTCAAGATCCTATTCAACATCTTCTTATAAAGCCTTCTTTATTTCTCTTACTATAACTAATTATGCATTTGTTTTTGTTCAAATAGCATGTTTACATTTTTATTTAGCATTTGTTTCATTCTCTCTTTGACACAGTTAATTTATTAGTCTCCTATTCTGGCTTTGAAATGCTTTGAAGGCAAAGACACTGTCTTTTTTTATAATTGTACTAGAGGCCCGGTGCACGAATTTGTGCACCACTGGGGAGTCTCTTGGTCTGGCCTGAGGGATCAGGCCAAAATCAGCTCTCCAACATCCCCTGAGGGGTCCCAGATGGGAGAGGGCACAGGCCAGGCTGAGGGACCCCTACCAGTGCACGATCAGGGCCAGGGGTGGGGGGATGCGGGAGGTTGGCCAGCTGGGGAGGGACTGCGGGAGGGCTCCAGGTGTGTCTGGCCAGGCTCCCTCAGTCCTGAATGGCCGGACCCCAGCAGCAAGCTAACCTACTGGTAGGAGCATCTGCCCCCTGGTGGTCAGTGCACATCATAGCGACTGGTTGACTACTCAACTGTCTGCCCCTGGTGGTCAGTGCATGTCATAGCAAGCGGTTGAGCAGCCTTAGCATATCATTAGCATATTACGCTTTGATTGGTTGAACAGACTACCGGACACCAAACATTTAGCATATTAGGCTTTTATTATATAGAACTAGAGGCCCGGTGCACAAAAATTTGTGCACTCGGGGGGGGGGGTCCCTCAGCCCAGCCTATGCCCTCTTGCAGTCTGGGACCCCTCGGAGGATGTCCACCTGCTGGCTTAGGCCCGCTCTCTGGGGGATCGGGCCCAAGCTGGCAGTCAGACATCCCTCTGGCAGCCCGGCAGCCCTCGGAGGATGTCCACTTGCCAGCAGGGAGCAGGCCTAAGCTGCAGTCGGACATCCTTAGTGCTGCTGAGGAGGCGGGAGAGGCTCCCACCACCACCGCTGTACTGGCAGCCGTCAGCCTGGCTTGTGGCTGAGCAGAGCTCCCCCTGTGGGAGCACACTGACCACCAGGGGGCAGCTCCTGCATTGAGTGTCTGCCCCCTGGTGGTCAGTGTGTGTCATAGTGACCAGTCATTCCCAGTCGTTCTGCTATTAGCGTCAGTTTGCATATTACCCTTTTATTATATAGGATTATGTCTTGTACATATCAATACTAGAATTTTAATGTATTAAAATAATAAAAACACTATTATAACACTAAACTGTGAAGGGTTAATAAAAATTTGACAGTCATAGATTTTTAAAAGTTTAGTCATATATGGAACTAGATTAAGATTTGATTAAGTAAGCCTCCCATCCCTATCCCATCCCTCTCTACTTATTAAGGATGAGATGAGAATTGAAGTAACTAAGGCCAGGTTTGCTGAGTTAAGGTCAGTAATTATATCAATCTAATTCTTGTTAATTTTTTTTTCCAGAAACAACATAATCAAAAGAATACTAGCCATCCAAAACAGTGGGAAAGGTTATGAGACCCAGAATCTTTACATAATGCTGAACAGAATTGATGGCTACCAGAAAAAGATGATGGGGGTCTGGACCGAGAAGCAAAAGTCTCTAGAGCAGAAACGGAATCAGTGCCTGAGGAAAATGATGTTCTTATTTAGCCAGGTAATCTGTTTTCTATTCCCTCGCCCCAGTATGTTACAAGAAAAGTGAGAGTGGTAAGCTTTGAAAATAACATTTATCTGGAGATACCTTGTATATTGGTTTCCTAGGGCTACTTTAACAAACTTCATGGCTTAAAACAACAGAAATGTATTCTCTTAGAATTCTGAAGGCCAGTTTATGAAATCAAGATGGAAAAAGAATCGAGATGGTTCTTTCTGGAGGCTCTGAGAAATGTATTTCATGTCTCTCTCCAAGAGTCTGGTAGCTATAGACAATCTTTGGCATTCATTGACTTGTAGCTGCATAACCGCTATCCTCTGCATTCATTTTTCCCTTAGCCCTTTTCCCAGCTTGTCTGTCTTCACTTCTGAATCTTACAAAGTTATGTGTCATGGATTTAGGACCCACCTGGTTAATCCAGGATGATCTCATCTTGAGATCCTTAACTTAATTACACCTGTAAAGACCCTTTTTCTAAACAAGGTCGCATTCACAGGTTCTGGGTGAACATATCTTCTGGGGCTTCACCATTCAATCAATTACATTGTGACTTCATTGAAACTCCTAAATTGACAACAGGAATACTGGCTGGACTTTCTAGATGAAAAAAGATTAGAATAGGAGAGACTTCTATAAGTGTTCAACTCATTCCTAGTCAACCCACATCTACCAGCCTCTCTTGAAGTCACTACTCTCCAACTGATTCATGACAGTTACTCCTTTCCTCACAACTATCAGAAAGCAAGCTTTTTTTTTTTACCAGGCAGCCTTAATCTATTTTATTGATTTTTTTTTACAGAGAGGAAGGGAGAGGGATAGAGAGTTAGAAACATCGATGAGAGAGAAACATCGATCAGCTGCCTCCTGCACATCCCCTACCGGGGATGTGCCCGCAACCCAGGTACATGCCCTTGACCGGAATCGAACTTGGGACCTTTCAGTCCGCAGGCCGATGCTCTATCCACTGAGCCAAACCGGTTTCGGCAGAAAGCAAGCTTTAATTTGGTGAGTTTACAATAAAGGAGATAAGAATTTATTTAACTTGCTTACATAGCACCATGCAGAGAAAACCCCATTTAACTCTAACAATCCACTCATTATGTCCCAGAGCCTCCTCTGAGATGACCTTCCAAAAAGTTATAAAGGTAAGATTAGAGCACTTTGCTCTGGATTACCTGCTCCCATTACATGTTCTAGCACGAAATTTTGGAACATCCTGGGAATTCTAGAAACATTTTGTATCTATATATCCGTTTCTTTCACTAAATTAATTAATTTAGTTACTTAATAAGATCAGTTTACTTGCTACTTTAGAAGGTACAGAAACTTCTCATCATAGCCTGATTCAAATCAGACATGTTCTGAATTTTCCAGAAGGGCTACATTTTAAGTATTAAAGATCTTTGTAAAAAAAAAAAAAGGATATTTTTTGACAGTTTATTGCTTGGAAAATATGGCCAATGTAAGTGGAAAGCAAGATCAGTTGGCAGTGTCATGAACTGTCTAACAGGAATCACAATATCTAGGGCATGTCAGAGGATGAATAGGGTCTGGGGTCCAGGCAGCCTTAATCTATTTTATTGATTTTTTTTTACAGAGAGGAAGGGAGAGGGATAGAGAACTAGAAACATCGATGAGAGAGAAACATCGATCAGCTGCCTCCTGCACACCTCCTACTGAGGATGTGCCTGCAACCAAGGTACATGCCCCTGACCGGAATCGAACCTGGGACCCTTGAGTCCTCAGGCTGATGCTCTATCCACTGAGCCAAACCGGTTAGGGCAAGGCAGCCTTAATCTAGATGATAAGGTGGGTATCAAGGCATAAACAAGGGGGAGGAAAAGGCAAAAGAGAGAAGAGGATAGAAATGAAATAAATACCTTTCACTGAGTCAGGGTGGTGGTCAAAAAGTTAGTTCTGCAAAAAAAAAAAAAAAAAAAAAAAAAAAAAAAAGAAGTTAGTTCTGCAAAAAAAAAAAAAAAGAAGTTAGTTCTGCTACCAGACTACATGGGTTCAAATCAGCTCCACTACATACTAAGTAGGAGACCATGGACAAACCACTTAAATTTTCTGAATTCCAAATCCCCATGTACAAGACAAGGACAATAACAGCGCCTTTCTCATAAGGTTGTTGTCAATATCAAATGAATTATTATGTAGAAAGCATCTAACATTCAGCAAGGATTCAGTAAATGTTTGCTATCATTGCACTTGCATAGTTCTTACAATTTATGAAGTGCTCCCATATATATTATGTTATACAATTCTTACAACAACCCTGTGTAATTACCCTCATAGAATAAGGAGAAAGAGGTGCCGATAAAGTTAGCAACTAGCTCAAAGTCACACAGCTAGGAGATGAAAGGGCTAGGACCAGAGCTTATGCAGGAGCTAGGTTTATATATATCATAGCGGCCACCACTGAAATTGTGTTGGAGGTGGAGTGGAGGTTGAGGAGTAGTAGTTGGAGAAGGGGAGGAGACTGGAGAAATAGGATTTGCAAATCCATGATAAATGAAGAGTCATGCTTGTAGTTAAGCTAGGGCCAGCTCAGAAGACCTTCCTGAAGATTCTGGCCCTTTCTTTTCATTGTTTCCTCTTTTATTTATTTATTTTTAGCTCCAAGATATGTACCAGTTGAATCTTAGTCAACCTGTACCTTTGCTCATCGACAAAAAGCAGAAACCTACCCCTACCAAATTTATTCAACAGCCATTCCTAGAGCTACTAATGAAAGAGGACAGAAAATCTGACATATTCAAGAAATTTAGGTATGTGGTAGGAAAGACTGCCATTAAACTTTCTTTGGATGGTATGCTTTTTTTTCTACCCAAGATCTTCCCCTCCCTGACAATTATAATATGGTATAGTGGAGAGTCTAAGGATTATTAATTTTCTTAGCTAATTTAACAAGAGGCTTATTTATATATATTCCTACTTAAATATCTAACATCCAATTTTGAGTTCGCTTTTTAAAAAGAAGCTGATTCTTTCTTACTAAGCAGCAAATTAATACCCAATGAAGAAACTTAGAAGTATTACTTAAAAAAACATAAAGAAAGTAGGAGCTTTGGGAAGGAAGAGGAAAAAGATTGTTGCTGGGAAAAAAGAAAAACGTTTTCTGGATATGGTCCATATACAGTAATCCAGGCAGCTAAGAAGGCAGTTTTAAAATGGATTACTAGGTAAAATCATGGAAATGCAGCTTTTTTAGGGGGAGGTGGGGCGATTTCAGCAAATTCTGCCGTTTTAATTCATTTCTCAGTCAAAGTGGGCATGGCTAATGTTCCTCAGTGTGAGGGAGGGCATTATAGGACAGGGTGGTGGTGGTGAAGAAAAAAGGGGAGAATAAGAATCATACCTTTTGATTGCCTATGGAGTGCAGCAGAGTTTGGTGATTTCAATTAGTGCTCTCTGACTCTCTAGACAAGAAGACCAGATGGCAGCCATCTGGAATGCTGATCAGTCCACTACAAGCTACCCAATAACTGAGAAGACATCACTACATTCACTGTGGGCCCAGCTGGGTGGGTACCCACCTATTCCCATGCTGCTCCAGTTAGATGTTCAGTCTTCCTTCAGAAAATCTCTTGCATCCATTCAATCACAGTAAGTTAAGGACTGGAAGCACTCTGATAATTGGGCTTTTGGTCAAATGCCTCCCCCCCTCCTCCCCACCCAACTTAACTTTCTCTTACAGCACCAAGGAGTTACCAAAAGTATTAGTTGTTTTAGTGTTTCTCTTCGGAGGCCTGCAGATGTCACTATGGAATAATATGAACAAAGCAACCAGTTATAATACCACGAAACCTAATCTAACACTAGATTAGTCCACTTTGAATTCCACCCATTATTATTGGGATTTTATTATTGAAAGTACCAGAAAACCCATAGTAGTATGCTTTTGTCTACCTCATGGTTCAGTAACATACCTTAAATGCAGCTGCCATATCTAGGCCCAACTTGAGATAAATTAAGTGCTTATATCCCAGGATATACTGAAGGATAGGGAAGGTGGGTGACATGGATCCATCTTTCCAAATTCTGTTAAACCCGGTTCTCACTTGGTGATTTCATACTCTCGGAGTGAGTTAGAGATTAAGAGTCAATTACTTTGTAAATCCTAGTTTAGCACTTCTCTTTGGAATTTGGTATCTATTATTAGGGTTGCCAGATTTAGCAAATAAAAATATAGGACACCCAATTAAATCTGAATTTCAGATAAGCAACTAATGATTTGGTACTATAAGTATAGTCCATGAAATTGTATTCTTATATTAAACATTATTCATTTTTTATCTGAAATTCAAGTTTAACAAGGCATCGTGTATTTAATATACAGGCAACTCTTCTATTATGCCAAAACCTCCATTTTTACATGCTATTGCAAAATATGTATGTATTAGTTTTAATGTAGAGTTAGATGCCTGAAAACTTTCAGAGTAAGAGATGCTGAAAACAGTGAAAAAAAATTTAAGACATTATAAGAAAATTAAAGTCTTGGATTTTTAAAAATATATTTTATTGACTTTTTACAGAGAGGAAGGGAGAGGGATAGAGAACTAGAAACATCGATGAGAGAGCAACATCGATCAGCTGCCTCCTGCACACTCCCCACTGGGGATGTGCCTGCAACCAAGGTACATGCCCTTGACCGGAATTAAACCTGGGACCCTTGAGTCCTCAGGCTGATGCTCTATCCACTGAGCCAAACCGGTTAGGGCAAAGTCTTGGATTTTTGCTATTTTTCACTAAAATAAAGTAAGTACAGAAAATGTAAATTTTTAGAAATCTTAAATTAATAATAATGGATGCTATATAACCAGTTACTATTTATACTTCCTTTTTTTCTCACTAGAATCTCTTCAAGGTCTTTCCTTCCCCAAAGAGGATTATATTTACTTTATGTTGTGTCAATTAAAGTACAAACCGAAGATTTTCTTTCCTTCTGGGTTTAGTTATTTCTACTGTCCTTTAGGACTCAGTTTAAACAATCACACTTTCTAAATTATCTTCTCTGACTCCTATGTGCTCTCAATGTATCTTATAATTAACAACATCCTAGCACTTACCATTTTGTGTTGTTGTTTTTAAAAAAATATTTTATTGAGCCCAGCCAGCGTGGCTCAGTGGTTGAGCTTCAACCTATGAACCAGGAGGTCATGGTTCAATTCCTGGTCAGGGTACATCCCCGGTTGGAGGCTCGATCCCCAGTGTGAGGCCGCAGGAGGCAGCCAATCAATGATTCTCTCATCATTGATGTTTCTCTCTCTCTCTCTCCCTTTCCCTTCCTCTCTGAAATCAGTAAAAAATATATTTTTAAAAAGATAATTTATTGAATTTTAGAGAGAGAGGAAGGGAGAGGGAGAGAAACATCGATGTGAGAGTGGAATATTGACCAGCTGCCTCCTGCACACCCCCAACTGGGGATCCAGCTCGCAACCTGGGAACATACCCTGATGGATAATCAAACCAACAACCTTTAGGTGCACGGGATGACGCCTGCCCAACCAACTGAGCCACACTGGCCAGGGCTTGCCATTCTTTTTGTTCTTGTTGTTAATCCTCACCTGAGGATATTTTATCCCTTGCTTTTCAGAGAGAATGAAAGGGAGGAGGGTGGGAGGAGAAGAGAGAGAAATGTCGATGTGAGAGAGACACATTGACTGGTTCACAACCCAGGTATGTGCCCTTGACTGGGAATCCAACCCGAAACCCTTCAGTGCCCAGTCCAATGCTCTAACCACTGACTGCACTGGCCAGGGCTTACCATTCTGTATTATAATGGCCTTGTTACTCCCCTGATTTGAGACTACATTTTTGGGAGATCACTTGCTTGTTGTGTTCAACTGTCTCTACTTTTGTTCTGCCTGCTTTCAAAAACATTTGCTAACTACTTACTATGTGCCAGGTACTGAGATACAGTAAGTGGGAAGGTTTCCAGAGACCATGGTTGCCAGGCAGAAGGAACAGTATGTACAAAGATCCAGGGCCACTAGTGTATGGCTGCTTCTGCTTTATCTCCTACAAAATAAAATCTATATGAAATGAAAACCTTCCTACTCCCCAGGTCCCTTCCTTCCTGTTTCCAACAGGGGGGACTAGAACTAAAATCTCTCTTTCTGCCTTGATGTGTTATATGGTGCTTGGAGTTACTGCCATCTTTGGCAACAATGAGTTGATATCCACAGGACAGAAGGATAATACACCAAGAATCACAGAGACGAGAGATAAGTAGAAACCTGCCTTTGATGACATTCAGTTGTTAGATACACATATTTGTTTCTGGGCTTTTATTTTTTTATTTTTTTTATTTTATTGATTTTTTACAGGGAGGAAGGGAGAGAGATAGAGAGTTAGAAACATCGATGAGAGAGAAACATTGATCAGCTGCCTCCTGCACACCTCCTACTGGGGTTGTGCCGGAAACCCAGGTACATGCCCTTGACCGGAATCGAACCTGGGACCCTTCAGTCCGCAGGCCGACGCTCTATCCACTGAGCCAAACCAGTTTCAGTTGTTTCTGGGCTTTTTAAGTGAGTAGTAAATGGTCTTAGAGCTTCAACCATCCTTAGCCAGGAGGTCTGTTCCTTGCAGCCATAAGTACTACTGACTTATTCAGTTTATATTTTTCCCCTCAGGAAAGCCTTTCCTAACTCTGCCTATTGCCCTTGGGTGTCAGCTCTCCACACTCCCGTAATATCCTAAGCGTATTACTCTATCATTATATTTACCCACATATTCTAATAATCTGTTTATGCATCTGTCTCGTTGTATCCTCAGAGGTCTGACACTTTGCCTGGCCCATTAGGAATTTTCAAAAAAGTTTAATGATGAATGAATAAGTCTATGTTTTTGTCCCCAAAGAGGTAATAATCAAAGCAGGGGGTGAGGAAATACTGAGGAATTACAAAAGATAACAACTATCAAAAAACAGTTTTCAACAGGACTCTCTTAGAGAAAAGGAAGCTTTGGAAGTTGTAGAATATGTGCTGGAATTCTTATTGAGGGAAGTACTACTCCCTGTTAAATAATAGTAATAACAGTAACACTTCACAACTGTGTGGTGCTTTTCACCCTGATTCTAATATCAAATTTAACTTCACAACCATCCTGATGAGGTAAATAGAGCAAGCATTTTAGAGAATAGGAAGCTGAGGCAGAACCAGACTTTCAAACAAGTTATATTCACCATACTGTAGACATGAAACTTATCTTAAGCTAAATTGCTTACATATTTTCTTCCACTGAGGTAAAGACTATCTTGTGTGAAAAATCTTACCAAACAGTAGACAAATGTTAGGGTCAAAATGATGGAATCTGCCATTTCTCGGAAATTTACCCTATGTCTCTGTGACACTGTTACTCTGTGTCACACATAAGCATATACATACACATACTGTCTTTCACTATTCAGATCTTGTTTAAATTATAGGTAGAGAAAGCTGACACATAGTGTGATGTGTCATAATCCTTTATTTCCCTAAGGCAGTAGTTCTCAACCTTCCTAATGCCGCAACCCTTTAATACAGTTCCTCATGTTGTGGTGACCCCCAATTTCATTGTTACAAATTGAACATAATTAAAGCATAGTGATTAATCACAAAAACAATATGTAATTATATATGTGTTTTCCAATGGTCTTAGGCGACCCTTGTGAAAGGGTCGTTCGACCCCCAAAGGGGTCGCCAACCATAGGTTGAGAACCGCTGCCCTAAGGGATGGTCCTACGGGTGGAGGGGGGGACGCGGGGGGGTTGCATGCTTGAAAATAAGTAAATGGTTCAGATGCTTGCCTTGACTTGTTAAAGCATTTTCCCTAATGAGGGGAAAAAAGACTTAGGACACAAGCCATAAATTGGAAAGTTGCCCGATAAATACAGAATCAAGGCAGAAGAAGCTACTTATGTGCTATCAATGACTGTGACATAAGATTGTGATTTGGATTTGTCTCCACTGTCAGGATGTACCAACAACCTGGACAGTTATGCTGGCTACACAGGACGCTGCTTCTCCCACTTTTCTTTTCTTTTTTTTCTTTTTTTCTTTTTTAGAACAATAAACACCTTTATTACATGAGCTAAGATAGGAGGGAGGAGGAGTTATTTGCCTTTCTGAGCCTTGATTTTCCTCAGATAGAACTCTAGCTCCTTATCTTCTAGTACATAGACATTTGCTCTGACACACTGGCCTGGTCTTAAAGGGATGCACACAAGAAGCTTGCCTGGTGGAACTGTTCCTCTGCGACAGCGGTTCTCAACCTGTGGGTCGAGACACCTTTGGCGGTCGAACGACCCTTTCACAGGGGTCGCCTAAGAACATCCTGCATATCAGATATTTACATTACGATTCATAACAGTAGCAACATTACAGTTATGAAGTAGCAACGAAAATAATTTTATGGTTGGGTCACAACATGAGGTTGAGAACCACTGCTCTATGAGCCTGCTAACTTTGCCATTATTTTTCCTTTCATCATATTTCTAATGAATTTTCTTTGATCATTTTTGTTCAAAATCTCTTCATCCTCAGGAGTCAGCTTGGCCCCCTTCTTGCGGCCCAGGGGCAGTGCATAATGGCTATGGGGTGCTGTCAGTGAGCATGATGCAGTTCTTTACTAGGATATTGGTGTGGACCAGTTCGTAGTTGGATG